ATTTTGAATTCTACAAAGTATCCATCTGGAAAGGCTTCTGTGGAAAGTGTTCTTAAAAGGGAGGGACAATCAGCACAGTTCTTCAACCTAATTGGGTAAATCATCAAGTGGCACCTGCCTCCCATGTAGAGCTTTTGGCTCTACAGCCCAGACTCTTCTTCAGGTCAGCAGCTGAGATGTTTCAGATTTTTAAATTAGTTTCACAACTAGCGGAGTTAACTGATCAATGAAGCTCTTACCAAGTCTGGTCAGTATGAATGCACAAACATCTTTCACATCCACAGAGGAAAAAATCAAATACTTTTTTCTTGTTTTTCAAAAAAGAATAGAGGATATTCCAGCTAAAAGCAGTGCAGCCCTGTTTGTTTAGCCAAGGTTTAGGGTGTGAAATTATTTTTCCCACCACTTTCCCTCCATTTTTAGTAAATCTGATATTGTTTGTAAAGACAAGATCAGATTCGCCCCTCTAGATTAAATCGTACATCAGAGAACCCAAAATATGTCTAATCAGGTAAGAGTAATATCTGTTTTGTTGGCCAATAACAGCATTTAGCTCAGTTACTGTAGCTCTAGTGTTTAAGGGGAGCTAAGACTGCACTAAAGAGGAGCTGTATATGACTTTACAACACATCTCCAGATCGGATGGAAGACACACCGATACAGAAGATCCTCCCTGCTAAAGCTATTAACAACTACAACAACTTGTTGAAAAAAACTGAATTACTACAGCATCTGATTTCTGTTTGGGAATAATAAAGGTTTTTGGAATTGAATCAAACTGAATTAAAATACTACATGTCGTTTTGTGAATGTATATCTAGCATCTTGCATGTTTAAAAAATTAAAGTAACCCAAAATACTGTGACAGCATGGGAAAAATAAGAGCTTTCCACAAACTTAATCCATTTAATCCGTCTTCAGGGATTTCATGACTTATATAGGAAATAATTTATTACCCAAATTTGATATGGAAACAGCTTGCTCAGATTTAGACTCACAGAAACACTTGGAATACCCTGAATACTAGCATATTGATTTTATTAAATTTTATTTTTACAGTAATAAACATATATTATAAACCCTANAAATAACATAGTTATGTATAATATATTACATTTCTGACTGTATATCCCTGTAATTATTACACACTGTAGCTTTAAACCCTTTTTTATACAAAAAAACTGCTTTGATTAACATGATTCATGTAACCGCTGCATTGCAGCCCTGCAGCATTTAATACAGAAAAAGTTGTTCTTGTGATCAAGGCAAAACCTTGTAACCTTTAGTCACTGTTGTGTTCTTCAATCACATAGTAATAATTAGAGGAGGAACAGATACAGTCTTTGCCAATGTTCTGTCTGACAAAAGATTGCACTAACTCAGTGGTCTCCAACCCTGGTCCTTAAGATCTACTGTCCTGCAGATTTTAGATGCATTACTGCTCTAACACAGCTAATTTAAACGACTGACGGGCCTCTTTCACATGCCATCAAGTTTGACAAAGGCTTGGTAATGTAACCTAGCATAAGCCAGATTAATACACTGTAGTTCATTTTGAATTCTACAGAGTATCCATCTGGAAAGGCTCCTGTGGAAAGTGTTCTTAAAAGGGAGGGACAATCAGCACAGATCTTCAACCTAATTGGGTAAATCATCAAGTGGCACCTGCCTCCCATGTAGAGCTTTTGGCCAATCACACGAGCAGCAGCAGCTGAGATGTTTCAGATTCTTAAATTAGTTTCACAACTAGCGGAGTTAACTGATCAATGAAGCTCTTACCAAGTCTGGTCAGGATGAACGCACAAACATCGATCACATCCACAGAGGAACAAATCAAATACTTTTTACTTGTTTTTCAAAAATTAATAGAGGCTATTCCAGCTAAAAGCAGTGCAGCCCTGTTTGTTTTATTTCAGCCTCTGAGTGACGTGTCGACATCAACCACATCCATGTGTTTCATTGGTCTGAAACATTTCTGTATTTCATTTTCATTTCTGCTTAATGTATTTTCAGTAGTTTGAGAATCATCACATCTCATGACAGTTCCCCTTGCTTGCAAGGTAATAGTAACGAGGACAAGGGTTGGAGACCTCTGCAACTAACTACTAAAGAATAAAAGGAAA